GATGGGGCTCTGGCTGGCTCAGTCAGAAGAACATGCGACTCTTGATCTCGGGGTTGTGAATTCGAGCCCCACGTTGGGTGTAGAGATTTCTTAAATAAATAAATATATTTTTTAATATTTTATTTTTTTGAGAGAGACGCAGAGAGCAAATGGGGTGGGGGGGGTGGGAAGCAGAGGGAGAGGGACAAGAAGACTCTTCACTGAGTGTGGAGCCCAACTCGGGGCTTGACCTTACCCTGAGATCAGGACCTGAGCTGCAATCAAGAGTCAGACACTTGGGGCGCCTGGGTGGCTTAGTCGTTAAGCGTCTGCCTTCGGCTCAGGTCATGATTCCAGGGTCCTGGGATCGAGTCCCACATCGGGCTCCCTGCTCGGCAGGAAGCCTGCTTCTCGCTCTCCCACTCCCCCTGCTTGTGTTCCTGCTCTCGCTATCTCTCTCTCTGTCAAATAAATAAATAAAATCTTTAAAAAAAAAAAAAAAAGAGTCAGACACTTAACCAGCTGAGCCACCCAGGTGCCCCTAAATAAATATTTAATAAATAAATAAATAAAATAATAGAAGAATTAGAGTATGCATACATACGATTCTGGTCCTTGCTTTTTTTCCACGTAATCATCTTTCTATGTCAACACATAGACACCTGTGGCATTTTTACATCGCTACTGTTACATTGCACTGGATGCATTTTGATTCATTTACTCAGTCTTCCATTAATAGATTGATGTATTTATGTTTAAATATTTCTATTACAGTCAGTACATTAGTGACTTATCTTTGCACATCTATATTATTTGTGATGGCATTTCTTCCCAGAATGGAATTGCTAAGTCTGAGGATATACACTTTTCACATTTTTATAGCTCTATTACCCAGTTGTCCTCCCAAAAGGTTGTACCGATTTATACTCTCAAAAACACCGTGAGTTCCTGTTTCCCTACAGTTTCATACCATCAGTTTTTAAGTTTTGTCAGTCTGATAGACTCTTTTTTCCCTCCAGCTTTATTGAGATAATAGACTCTTGTTTTAATTGCCTTCTCTTTACCATTGGTGAGGGAGGGAGGGGTTCCCACCCTAGGGTTATGGGGACGGCCAAACACAGCCCTTGACACTGGACAGGTCAGATCAACAGCAGTTTATCAGTCACGTATCCTCACAGCTCAGGGAAGGAGGACACCACAAGCCAATGGTGCCATCTAGGTGTTGCACTCAGAAATACAGTGAACAACCAGAAGCTGTGGAGGACAGACAAGTTTTATAGCAGCAAGAGGTTGAGGTGTGCCTGTTGTTCCTGCAGCGAATGTCATTGGTTTGTTTGAATGATTCTACAGGCTGGCAAAGAACTGAAACCTGCTCTCAGAGATAAGCAGAAACTGCACCTGGTCGATTTGATAAGGATTATTTGGCTAGGGCAACGTTCAGTTCAGCTATTTGAGACACGCCTGATTTTACCAGATGTCAAGGCACAAGATATTGAATCTTAATTTCAACTGTTCCTGGTTAATTATGAGGGTTCTTTTTGGGTACTGGTTTTTGAGTGACTTTTTGGCATATATTATGACGATTTTTTTTTCTCATTTACCAAACTCATGGACTAATTTCTTATGCAGTCACACTTAATTTTATTTCCTTGAGTTGTATTTAGTAAATTTTTCCCCCTGAATTGGTAAGTATGATTGGTTTGCAGTTTTCCTTTTTATGCTGTCTTTATTAGGAATTGGTATAAGGAGAACTGTAGCCTCATAAAGTGAAATAGCTTTCTAACTTTTCTGGGCTGTAATACAGATTTACAGGGTAAGGATTATCTGTTCACTGAAAGTTTGAGAGAGTCCTTCCATTAAACCATCTGAGCCCAGAGCCTTTTTGGGACATATTTCTTAGGTAATGTTTTCAACATCTTTCTTATTTTTGTAATTGTATTTCCCAGAAAATGGTCCACTTTATTAAGGCTTTCATATACATTAGAACAGAGTCAGCTATGGTATTCCTTTATTTTCCTGTTATGCTTCTTAAAATGCAAAACCACATTCTCTATGAAATAGGAACAGAAAACTAAAAAGAGACTGAGTGAGATCAAGACAGAGGTGGGGTGGAAATTGGCTAAAATCGAAGAAAGATATAACAAGCAGAATTAGGGGTGCCTGGGTGGCTCAGTCAGTTGATCATCTGCCTTCCAGCAGCCTGGATCATGATCCTGGAGCCCCTGTGGAGTCCCTTGCTCATCAGGAAGCCTGCTTCTCTCTCTCCCTCTGCCCCTCCCCCTGCTTGTTTTCTCTCACTCTCAAATACATAAAATCTTAAAAAAAAACCCAAAAAACCCAACAAGCAGAATTAGATATCTTACTGGAGAAAACAAAGAGTACCCTTGACTCTGAAGAAAATTAAATCTGTGATGGTGAAGAAGAACATGAGATACTCTCCCAGGATGCAGAGAAAGAGGATGAAGAGATTTCATTGACAGCAGTAATCTAATATGATAATTTTAGGAGAGAAAAACCCCCAAAGCAACCCTGTTCACAGAATGGACAGGAACATATTAGAAGAAAACTTTCCTAAGCTGAAAAGATCACTTCTTTTCTGGAAAATTAATAGACTTATGCTGGCAAATATTTAACTTTTAAGGATAAAGAAAAATCCTAAGAAGCACCAGGCAAATTGCTCACCTAACACAGACCAGACCAGCTTTGCTACCTTGTTTTGTTTTGTTTGGAGATATAATTGACATATTAACATTATATTAGTTTCAGGTGTACTTTCTACCATTTTAAGACCCAAAAGACAAAGGGATAAGGACAAGAGAGCCTTGGAGACTCAAGAATTCTATAAAGTCAAGCCATAAAGGTATATTAGTGTATAAAGACAGTAGAAAGGCGGGCGCCTGGGTGGCTCAGTTGGTTAAGCGACTGCCTTCGGCTCAGGTCATGATCCTGGAGTCCCGAGATGGAGTCCCACATTGGGCTCCCTGCTCAGCAGGGGGTCTGCTTCTCCCTCTGCCCTCTTCCTTCTCGTGCTCTCTGTCTCTCATTCTCTCTCTCTCAAATAAATAAATAAAATTAAAAAAAAAAAAAAAGAAAGTAGAAAGGCATTCTTACCTAGGGCAAAGGCTTAGGAAAAAAACATTCAGGGGTCCTCCCTGAAATCACCAGTAAAATGAGAGATGGGTCCGACTGAGGAATAGAAAAATTAGAGCATAAAAAACTGGCAGTGACATTGATACCAATTAAACAAAGAGTTGGCAAAAGCCAAAGGCAATGATCGAAAAACAGGATTTTGGGGGCGCCTGGGTGGCTGAGATGGTTAAGCATCTGCCTTCGGCTCAGGTCATGATCCCAGGGTCCTGGGATCAAGCCCCACGTCTGGTTCCTGGCTCAGCGGGGAGCCTGCTTCTCCCTCGCCCTCTGCCTCTTCCCTGCTCATGCTCTCGCTCTCTCTCTGTATCTCTCTGTCTCAAATGAATAAATAAAATCTTTAAAAAAAAAAAGAAAAACAGGATTTTGTGGCGTGAAAAAAAAGTGTAAACAAAACTGGGCCTGTCATCCTGGATTAAATGAACAGATATAAGTAGGTATGAGGGCAGCAGGCCTAGAGATAGAAAAGCACATTAAATTTTTCATTACATAAAGAGGAATATAAAAAGGAATAATTTGTCATTGACTTTAATGATTTGTGAAAAACTGTATTTTTACTTGATAAACTCAAAGGTAACCACCAGGAGAATTAAACACAGGCTTTCGATCTTGCAGACCAGTATAGAAAATAAAAGTAAATATGGAAAAATCCAGAAAACAGGAAATAGCAAGAAATACATACTATAAAATAGGATGACAGATAACCAAACAAATCAGCAATGACCAAATAACAGATATGATACAATGGGTTAAATCCCAGCTAGAGTGGAGGCGCTAGAGTTTTTAGGACAGACCCTTTGTGCCTCCAGGCTTTTACTCATGCTGAACACTAGGCCTGGTCTGCTTCCCCGCCATATTCGCCGTATTCGAGGCTAAGACCTCCAGTCCCGGCCGGCTTCCTCCCGGCAGTCCTCCCGGGCCAACCGGGACAGAATGAGCACTCCCGGTACAGAACGAAGCACGCGCGTGCGAAAATGGTACTCCGGGTGAGGGACGAAGTCCTCACCTCACCCCCTCTTACCCCCGAATGCAGCGTGGGCTTGGGGCTGGGTCTCCTGCCAGGTGTGGGGCAGGGGGTGAAAGCACTCACACCTTGCTGGATTGTAATGTGTATCTTTTTCCTCGTTGCCCTCCTTTTACCCCCCGGACAGTGAGCCTCCGCAGCAGCAAGTTTCAAACCGGCACCGTTTGCTGCCGGACATAGTTACGGCCCCTCGAAGCCTCTTACACGCCGGCCTGCGGTCCCCGCGCCCATGCGGGTCTTCCCTCAGCGGTGTCGGATCCGCCCCGGGAGGGCTCGCCCGCCCCCACCTTGCAGACTTGCGGTCTCACGGCGTCCGTTGGGAGGCCGCGTCCGGAAGAGCAGGAGCCGGAGAGAAATGGGGCTGGGGTCGACGTCGAGATCCCCTTCCCCAAACCGGAGGGGCTCCTCCCGGTTGCCAAAGTAGTGGCGGAGGGCGCGGTCCCACTGGATTTGTTAGAGATCAGAGCCTGGGGGTTGAACCCAAAGGGTTTGGGGGGGTAAGAGGCGACGAGCAGAGGGACTCGGGCCGACTTACGCAGCTCTGGAGAGGGTGAAATAGAGGGGTCCCACGCGCGAACCCGGACGCAGCTACAAAGGGGTTAAAGCGCTGCGCCCCGCCCCAGCCTGGGGATTGGCGGCCCTGGGGGGCGTGGCCGGAGGGCGGGCCCGCGTTTGCCGCAGCCGCGGGTGGGCGGGGCCCGGGCGGGGAGCGGGAGGGGCGCGGAGCGGAGCCGGGCCCGCGCCGCGCGCCCCGCCGGGCGGGCTTCGGGCTGCGCCAGCGAGCCGGGCCGGTGGCGCCCGCTCCGAGGACCCCGCGCTGGACCCTGAGGCAGCGAGTAAGTGAGGCCGGCCCATCGTGGCACCCCTCCCGGCTTCGACCTGTCGTCGTGCCCGCTGCACTGCGATGCTCGTCCTGCCGGACCCGGAGCTGGGGAGGGGGCGCGTCCCGCTGCTGGGGTCCCGGGGCGGGGGAGGGGAGTGGAGATAAGGCCGATGATGTCATGGATGCTTCACCAGGCCTGGGGGGAGGTGGCGGCCGGAGGGGGTGCGGCCCGGATTATGTCACCTCTTCCCTCTGCGCCCCGCCCCCCGGGGCCACACGCGCTGGTAGGGAGCTACGGAAGGTGCGAGAGGGATTTCCTGCACCACGGAGACCCTCGGGCACCTCCTCAGGACAGCCTGTGGCCGGGGTCTCTATCTGTTGGCGCTGCGGGCCGTGGACTGCTGGTGAATGGCGAACACCCCCACTCCCCTGCGCGGCAGCTCGTGTGTGCGCGCGTGTGTGTGCTGGGGTAGGGGGGGCGCTGTCAGCCCCCTCAGTCCTTAAACACCAGCTTCACCAGAGCCAGGATCTAGGAGATGGTTCCCTTCCCCCGTTGACACCAAGGGAAGGTGGATCTCCCCTCCCACATCCCAACCAAGAAGTTCTGAAGACCTCTGCACCCCAAAAGCCCTACAGTGCCCCCAGTCCCCTTTCTCCCTCAGTCCTTCTTCCCGGAAGCCCTTCCTGATTTTCCTGTCCGGATTCATTGCCTCTTTGCATTGCTCATAACTAGCGTTCCCACAGCATTCTCTCTGCATCTCCTCAGGGTCAGGGCCCAGAGACCCCTAGGACTCTGCCATCTGTGTCCCCAGGGCACCCCCAGGCCAGCCCCTGGGGAAGCCTCAGAGTGAAATCTCCCTGGAGTAGCCTGAGCCAAGTGCTCCAAGGCCCCTGCTCCCCAGGGGCGATCAGGGATGCTGTCCTGGGAGGCAGCATTTGGATTGGTCCTTGAAGGATGCAGGGTGGGCATAGAGACCTGGGAAGAGATTTTGTGTGGAGCGGAGAGGAGCTCAGGTCAGGGGAAATAGGATGGGCAGCAGGAGATGCCTTGAAGGCCCTGCTGCAAGCTCTGCTCTGGTTCTGGGGACTGAGAGAAATGCCAGGCCTCTTACCCATAATACATTTACTTCTTAAGATTCCTGTAAGGTAGGTGTGAGAACCCGAGGTGAAATAACCTGCATGCATTCACCCCTAATCAGTTCAGCTGGGATTTACACTTGAGCTGATGCCTCCAGAACCCATGTCGACTGTTCTTGGCGCTGCTCGTGGAAGAATTTGGGCAGAGCAGGGACAAGCTCAGCTTTGCCCTTTAGAAAGAGTCCCCTGGCAGCTGTGTGTGGGAGGGAGTGCAGGGGGGAAGAGGCCAGCGAGGAGCCCCCAGCAAGGGTGCTGGCAAGAGGGGCTACTGAAAGCTTTAGGGGGCAAATGGGCTGGTATAGGGGTCTCTGAGACCACAAGAGAGGGGTAGAGTGTTCTTAGCTTTGGGAGGGACAGAGGTAAGGAGGGGTTGAGTGGTCACTGTGGGTTGGAGGGACCTGCCCATGTAGAGCCCAGGTACAGATCATTTGACCCCTTTATGACCATCAATACTCTGCATAATGTCCCAGGCAATGAAGGTTGATGGCACAGAGAGAGCGGCAGAGTTGGGCAACAGGCTGTCATCCCAGGTTGTTGAGCTGATGCCCTGAGGGTGCTTATGCAGACCATGCTCAGCCACCTGGGCCAGTTCAGGACCCTAACCCATACACAAAGCTCAAACCCTTCCTCTGGGCTCAGTTTCTGCCTATCAGGGAAACAAATGCCCCTCCTTGTCCTGCCAGCAACCTGTTGGGATTTTGAGAAAAGAAACTGCGGCAGCCCAAACTCGGCAAAGGCAAGGGGCAGGGAATGCTTGCTGACAGGTTAGAATTATGGCAGGACACTCTTTGGGGAATGAGGCTCCAGGGAGAGCTGCTCTGGGTTGATAGTCAAGGATTCCCCAGGTAGAGCAGGAGCCGATCCCAGGAGACATTCCCAGGAATACCTCATTTCCATCTAGGACTCTGGGCATTGAGCTTGTCCGGGGACCACACACATCCCAGGGAAACAGTGGCGCTGAGTGGCCTACCACCAGCCTCAACCTGTGGTCAGATCCTCCTTTTGTGGATCACAGAGAAGGAAGTACTGCATGTTTGTACTGCACCCTACAGCTCAGAAAGCACCCTTGCAAACACTATCCCCTGTCACTCTCATGATCAACATGATCACTTCTGAGGTTTGCTCCTGCCCACATCCTGGCATCTGCTGGAGCCCCCTTGCCTAGCTCTCTCATCTCACTATTGGCGCCTGCCTTCGGCCGAGCAACATACTCAGGTTTCTACCATGCTTAATTTAAAATCAGAAAAGAGCCTTTGGATCCCAAACCACCTTAAGTTACTGCCTTCTCTGGCCTTCTCTTTCACCAGGGAACTCTCCCATCTCTCCCTCCGGACCCAGCTACTCTTGTAGCCTCGCTTTGCCGTGCACCACTTTTCTGAAGCTAGTGAGGTTTCCACCTGCAGATCCAGGATACACTCTCCAGTCTCGACTTTACCTGGCCCCTTTCTAACACTGGGAGCTGCTCTGACATTCTTGAAGTCCCCCAGCTTGTTCTGCAGGGCCTGCCTTGTTCTGGCCTCCTTCTTGTGTCCACACTGCCTCCCGGCTTCTGGGGCCCTGCCACCTTCGCTTGATGCTGGGCTCCACCCACACCACCCTTGAATGCTGACCACCACAGTCTCTTTCCACCCAGTATGTGAGAGAGATCTTTGTCTGGTCTTTCCCAAAGTACCTGTTTCCCCAAACATTCTACCCCTGTTTTGTTAAGGGTGTCACACCCACCCCTTGCCCCCACCCCTGAACCCCATCTCTATGAAGTTTGGTCAGTTCTTCCTCCCAGACCCCGCCCAGGCCTTCCCACTGGTTTCAAGCCTCAGGCCACTCAGCTTTCATCCTTCTAGTCCCCAGCTGCTCCCCACACTGTACCTGAGGATGCTGAGAAAGGGGTCATGCTTAGGGTGGGAGGGGGATTTTGAGTTGAGGGGTAGCTGAGCTGGAGTACCTGGGGAGCAGAGGCAGAGCGGGGACGAGAGTGAGGCCTGAGAGGCACTCACTCTCAGGGTCTTGCACCTGCTGACACTGTGCTGAAGTTCTGCACTAGGTGCCTCCCTTGCCTCACCCTAGACTCAGCCCTGCATGTGGGGATAGACCGGCTCCTGGGAGGAAGGTGGTAAAGTGCTGTTCTCCACCCCTGGGGTGGGAGGGGGGCAGATGCTGAGAGAATGGAATTTTACAAAGGCAGTGGGGCCTGGCTTGATGGTGAACTTTCCAACCACTTAGGGCTGTAATTCCAGGTGTGGTGGCCAAAAGACTCCTGAAGGGCAAGAGTTTTGTTAGGTTCCCCTGGTCTGGGGCCTAATAGGAAGGACATGGTATCAGAATGGGCATCTGGGTAGAAGACAGTCTGAGGGGCACTCGAGGGGCATGGAGTGCCACCTGGACCCCTTCACCTTGGTAGAGAAGGAAGGCTCCTTGCCTGGTTTCTCATGGGAGTAGGGGGGGAAAGCCTGAGGGTGCCCCTACCACCTCTGGCAAACGGATTCCAGGGTCTGCATCCGCGGCTGGCACTGCCTGGTGCCTTTGGCCCCGCTAGATAATGCAGATCTCTAGGGCAGGTGTTCCCCGGTGTGGATTTGAGACAAAGGAACCAGGAAGTGGGGCCTCCCTGAGCACAGGTAACCCGAGGCCCTGTCGCCCTGCCTGCGCTGCGCCGCCCCCCCCCCTCTCTTGTGGGCTGGCCTTGGGGGCGGGGGGGCGCACGCTCACGGAATGGCTCAGAGGACTTCACGGTTCAAGGTCCAAAGGGAACGGGGGAAGGGGGTAATCCAGGAAGTCTTCCCGGTGGCAGTGAATTCTTAGAGGGGATGGGAGGCGCGGAATCCCCTGCGGGCGCAGCAGGGTGCGGAAGCCCCGCCCCTCCCCCGCCCACCTGTGGGAAACGCAGTCCCGGAGGGAGGCACGGCCAGCGCCCGCAGCTGGTAGCACCGCGTCCTCTGCCTCGGTCTCAGCCAGCCCCGGGGCTTCTGCAGAGGTACTGACCGTGGGGAAGGGGCCCCTCGTGCGGCCGAGTTGGGAAGACCTCCGGAAGGTCCGCTCGCCACGCGCTACAGCCAAGGTCCCCGGGCGTCCGCGGGGGGCGGGGCGTGCCCGAGGTGGCGCCCACATGCGACCCGGGGGCGCGCGGCGCAAGACTCCAGTCCCTCCCGCGCCCGCCGCCTCGGGGCGCCTGGCGCTCGGCAGCTCCATGAGGTAGGTCCTCCATTCCTCCCATTTCGCAGAGGAGAAAACTGCAGTCCGGGATGGCTCAGTCGGCCCATCCAAAGTCGCCCAGCTGGTTCGGGCCGAGCCCCGACTGCGAAAGTGAGGCACATGGCCCCTGCAGACCGGGCCTCGGAGGGTCCCAGGCTTGAGGACCCGTCGGCCCCCCACTCCCTTGGAAAGGCAAGGAGAGGAGCCTGCGCTGGTAGTGAGCCTCCACTTCTGCCCTTGACTGCAACACCCTAGGTTAGGGGGCCGGGAAGGACCCCTACTCCCAAGTTTTGGTTAGGGGTGGGTTCTCTCCTTCCCTTAATTTCTGAGGTTCCCTATTGAATTCAAGCATTGTTGTACCCTTCCAACCCCATCTCCCCAGCCCATGAGGTTGGGTTATAGGGCTCCAGACCCAGGGTAAAGAACGCCTAAGTTTTGGCAGCTGCAGTGAAGAATTGGGGCTCATGGAGGAGATGGGGTTGAGGCAGGAGCTGAGGAGTGGAATGCTGAGCTGAGCAAAGCTGGGAGGGTATGTGCATGGTGCCCTGGGGCCTGGGCTTCATCAGGTGGGCAACAGGCACCCCCATTACCAAGCTGTCACTCTTACCCCAGCCCCATTCCTCCATCCTGGGTGTCTGGGAACTCTTGTACCCACTGTAGGGAAGGGGACACTGAGGGGCGGGGTGCAAGTGGGGGTGGGGCTGACCTCTCTTTGCCTTCCCACCTGTGCCCGCAGTGCCCCCCTGGCTCAGTCATGGCGAAGCTGGAGACGCTGCCTATGCGCGCTGACCCAGGGCGGGATCCTCTCCTGGCCTTTGCCCCTCGGCCCTCTGAGCTCGGACCCCCAGACCCTCGCCTGGCCATGGGCAGTGTGGGCAGCGGGGTGGCCCATGCCCAGGAGTTCGCCATGAAGAGCGTGGGCACCCGCACGGGGGGTGGGGGCAGCCAGGGCAGTTTCCCCGGCCCCCGCGGCGGCGGTGGTGGGGCCAGCAGGGAGAGGCCAGGCCGCTACCCCTCCGAAGACAAGGCTCTCGCCAACTCCCTCTACCTCAACGGCGAGCTGCGGGGCAGCGACCACACCGATGTCTGCGGCAACGTGGTGGCCAGCAGCGGGGGCAGTAGCAGCAGCGGGGGCAGTGACAAGGCCCCGCCGCAGTATCGCGAGCCCAGCCATCCACCTAAGCTCTTGGCCACCTCTGGCAAGCTAGACCAGGTCGGTCCCCAGGGCCTTTTTTCTGAGGGGAAGAGAGGAGGGTAAAGTGGGCCCTGGAGGTTGGGGTGTAGGGGCCAGAATGGAGGTCGGGCTGGGGAGCCCTGGTGTGGGGTCTTGGGGGCCAAGTCTGGCTGGCGGTTCCAGGGGAGACTTGGCTTTTGGGTGCCATGCGGTGGAGCCCGGCTGGGAGGGACTTCCAGGATGGAGATTAATTGGGGGTGAGGCTGAACCTATCTTGGCCAGAGGGAAGAGGCTGGGGCCGAGGTTAAGGCCCCATTCTGATGCCCACTCCGCCTTGCTTGCTTTTTACTCAGTGCTCTGAGCCGCTAGTCAGGCCTTCGGCCTTCAAGCCCGTTGTACCCAAGAACTTCCACTCCATGCAGAACTTGTGCCCCCCGCAGACCAATGGTACTCCTGAGGGACGACAGGGTCCTGGTGGTCTCAAGGGCGGACTGGACAAGTCTCGGACCATGACCCCAGCGGGCGGGGGTGGGGGCGGCCTCTCCGACTCCGGCCGGAACTCACTGACGAGCCTGCCCACCTACAGCTCCAGCTATAGCCAGCACCTGGCGCCCCTCAGTGCCTCCACCAGCCACATCAACCGCATCGGCACTGCCAGCTACGGCAGTGGCGGCGGCGGCGGCGGCTCGGGCTACCAGGACCTGGGGACCTCTGACAGCGGGCGCGCCTCCAGCAAGAGCGGGTCGTCCTCCTCCATGGGGCGGCCAGGCCACCTGGGGTCGGGGGAGGGCGGAGGTGGAGGCCTGCCGTTCGCGGCCTGCTCACCCCCCTCGCCCAGTGCCCTGATCCAGGAGCTCGAGGAGCGGCTGTGGGAGAAGGAGCAGGAGGTGACCGCTCTGCGGCGGAGCCTGGAGCAGAGCGAGGCCGCGGTGGCCCAGGTGCTGGAGGAGCGGCAGAAGGCGTGGGAGCGCGAGCTGGCCGAGCTGCGGCAGGGCTGCAGCGGGAAGCTGCAGCAGGTGGCCCGCCGCGCGCAGCGCGCCCAGCAGGGCCTACAGCTGCAGGTGCTGCGGCTGCAGCAGGACAAGAAGCAGCTGCAGGAGGAGGCCGCCCAGCTGATGCGGCAGCGGGAAGAGCTGGAGGACAAGGTGGCCGCCTGCCAGAAGGAGCAGGCTGACTTCCTGCCCCGGATGGAGGAAACTAAGTGGGAGGTGCGGGCAGGGGGCTTGGGCTCTCCCTCTCTGAGTCTCCTTCCTTCTGTCGCTCTGGAGAAACCCAGAGCTGCGGCCCACTGTCACAAGGGGGAGTGAAGGGGGAGGGGGACAGAACCGATGAGGAGCGTCTGTGAGGACCAGAGTGGCCCTGGGGAGGGAGGGGGGTGCTGTGTGGGACTAGCCACGTGTGTCCTGGGTAGCCCAAGGGGGGCCGTTGGGGCATTCCTGCGCGTCCCAGGAGTTAAGCCTGCATCTGCAGATGCTCCGCGCTGCGGGCTGGAGGCCGGGGCCCGGGTGCCGGCCGCAGGGCTCTGCCTTGACCCTGGTCCTCTTCGCCCCTGCCCCTGCCCAGGTGTGCCAGAAGGCGGGGGAGATCTCCCTCCTGAAGCAGCAGCTGAAGGACTCGCAGGCCGACGTGTCCCAGAAGCTGAGTGAGATCGTGGGGCTGCGCTCGCAGCTGCGGGAGGGCCGGGCCTCGCTGCGGGAGAAGGAGGAGCAGCTGCTCAGCCTGAGGGACTCCTTCGGCAGCAAACAGGCCAGCCTGGAGCTGGGCGAGGCGGAGCTGCCCGCGGCGTGCCTCAAGCCCGCCCTGACCCCGGTGGACCCGGCCGAGCCCCAGGAGGCCCTGGCCACGTGCGAGAGCGACGAGGCCAAGATGCGCCGGCAGGCCGGGGTGGCCGCCGCCGCCTCGCTGGTTTCCTTGGACGGGGAGGCGGAAGCTGGCGGGGAGAGTGGGACGCGGGCCCTGCGGCGGGAGGTGGGGCGGCTGCAGGCCGAGCTGGCGGCCGAGCGGCGAGCCCGGGAGCGCCAGGGGGCCAGCTTCGCGGAGGAGCGCCGCGTGTGGCTGGAGGAGAAGGAGAAGGTCATCGAGTACCAGAAGCAGCTGCAGCTGAGTTACGTGGAGATGTACCAGCGCAACCAGCAGCTGGAGCGGCGGCTGCGGGAGCGCGGGGCAGCGGGGGGTGCCAGCACACCCACCCCCCAACACGGCGAGGAGAAGAAAGCCTGGACGCCCTCCCGCCTCGAGCGCATTGAGTCCACGGAAATCTGATCCCCTACCTGGGCATGTGGCCTTTTGACAAATGCCCTGTCAAAGGCCAGAGTCCCCAGTGTCCCCTTCCCGCCATTTCTCTTCCCCATGTCCCCCATGCCCCCAGACCAAAGAGGTTCTCAAAGCAGCTGTGACCAGGTCCCTCCCCACCCCCCCCACTGGGTGCCCTTCGGGCTCTACCACAGGCCCTCTGGGCAGCCCACTTGGACCCTCCTCCCAAGGAAGGGAGAGAGCGAGGCAGAGTGTTTGGGGGAGCCCGTGCTCCCCTTCTTGGCACTGCTTTGCAGGAGATGGGAGGCGGCAGGCCTGCAGTACCATGAGGTGCCCCAGCCCCTCGGTAGGACCGGGCTGCCTCTGTTGGCCACCCCGGTGTCCAGTGATGCTCTCTGTGGTCACCTCCAAGGCCATATAGCCTGAGGGGGCCTGCATGGGGTCTGCCGAAGCTGACAGACCTTGGGCTCCTGGCCTCTCTCCTTCCTGCCCTATTATCCCTCCCTGGGCAGATTGGCAGGACGAGTGGGAGCAGATGGCCCGTATGTGGTTGAGAGGGCTACCTGCCCAGCCCCTCCCCCCACTCCTACCAAGGTCTCTTGGGCTCAGGCCTCGGAGCCTGGCCTGGTCCTGAGTGTATGTCCATATGTGCGTATCAGGGGCCGGAGGGAAGGCTGGGGGTGGAGACTCAGTGCCCAGGGAAGATCTGCTCTCCTGTTCTTGGGAAGGGTCACCTGGAGACTGCTTAGCTCTACCCCACCCTTCTGGCCAGGATCCCACAGGGTGATAGCCCCATCTGCTTGGCTCACCCCACACCCAGGGCCGCTGTCCGTGGCTCTAACTACAGCTATTAAGTGCTACCTGCCTCTCAGGCACTCCCCTCACCCGGTTTCTGAGGTCATATGAGTGTCTGTGATGTCTTCCTGTGTCTTCTCCCACTCGATTCCCCCAGCCTCCCTCTGCTTTCACGCTCAGAACATCATTGTCCTAGGCCGCCTCTTCCCCCCAAACCTCACCTTTTCTTCCAGTAGAAAATTCTGCTTGATCTTTGGTGCACTGCCCACTTCCAAGCTCCAATGGGCCCAAGCCTGAGCCAGAGGCCTTTGTTTTGAGGGGCGAGGGGGGATGGTTGTGATTGCCCTTGAAGGACAAGGCTGACCTGAGAGGAACACTGACCCCTGAGTTCCCAGGACCTCGAGGTAGCCCAGTGTTTGCCCAGGGTAGGCCTGGCATGGCCATCAGTGGGGGTTGGGACAGCACTGTCACTTCCCTTCTCCTCTCGGCATCCTCTGAGTCTATCTCCCTAAGATAGGAAGGGAAAGGCAAATTTCTAATTCACCAGCAATAAAAATTAGAGGAGGCTTGGCCCTCAGCCCTTGTATTTCTCTTTTCACTCTCTTCCTCCCACCCCCAAGATGGGGTTTGGAGGACAGGGTGGAGAGAGCTGGCAACTACTGTGAGCAAGTTCCCCAGCCCCTGACCAGCCTCCTCCTATGACTGGTGACTGTTTAATGAGCTGTGCATCCCCCACAAAAACAAGAGTGCCCCCCTGTGTGGCCTCTATCCCTCTGCACAGCCCCTTCTCGGTGACCCTCACCAGATCTGTGAGCCGGGTGAGGGGGGCCATCTGGCAATCACTGCCCATTCCACTCACCCCTCACTGTACCTGCCCCAGAACCTGGGCCTGGACCAGAGGGGCAGAGGGAAGAGAAGGCATTAGTAGGAAAAAAAAAAAAAAAAAGAAAAAAATATGAACAGACTCAGCTTTGGGACTTCCAACCACAAAAGAAATTATATATAAATATATATAAATATATATCTCTACCATAGGTGATGGAAAGACTTCGTTTTCTTTTCCCAAAGAAATAAAATGGAGAAAGCCTCTTGAGTGGCATTCTTTGGCCTGCTTGTGTCTTTGCAGATTTGGGAGGTGAAGCCTGGGTGAGGGGGTTGTGGAGGGCAAAGCTGGAGTAAACAGATTTCCCAGGGGATGCACGAGACCGGAGGTGCTCACTGGGCCGTGCGAGAAGGCTGGCCCAAAGCCCAAGCTCCTCCATGTCGCCCAGAAGGAGTCGTGGTTCCAAGTTTCTGCCCGATGGGGCTTTCTCTGAGCTCGGATTGTCACCCTGAAGGGTTTCAAGGTGGTTCTAACTCAGCATCTGGACACCAGGCTGCTGGCTGGAAGGCAGGTAGGTGGTGCAGGACAGCTAGATGCGGTGTCCTGAGCCACCTTACAGTGATTGGCCAATGTTTGAGGACAGAAGACAAAAACATGACGCTTGAGAACAAGGTTGTAATTAGTGGTGAAGCCCCAAAGGCAGAATGGACCCAAGAGTGCTGTGAGCAGGGAGCTGTCCTTTGGTGATAAGTGCTGTCCTTTATGATAACTGCCTCTCATCTTTACAAAACACCGCCCCCCACCCCAGTCAAGAATGCACCCCACTACAAGCAACAACCTGATTTACAAGACCTTAAAAAAGTGGTTTAGTTTTCCTCACCTGACAATTCTGGTCACAAGCATTCTGTCATAGGTAGTGGTTCATCAAGGACATAAGACTTCATTCTCCTACTCTCCCATCCTTAGCATGTAGTTTCCTCCATGCCACAAGGTGGCTGCCACAGCTCCATGAAGCGAATGAGGCCACACTACTTTAGCATGAAGGTAAAAGCTTTCCCAGAATTCTGTCAGGACGTTTCCCTTTAAATGTTGTTGGCCAGAACTGAGTTGCATCCTCTTCTCACTTCAAGGGAGGCTGGGAAATTGAGTATTTGGCAAAGAACAGGAATGTCATGGCTGCCTAGGAGCAATATGGTTCATCCCCTGGGGATGGGTCCTCTGCTCCCTCCGGGTTCTTCTGGCAAAGAGAGTCATAATTAGCAACTAGGAATGTTTGCTCTTGTCTGGTCCAAGTGAGAGAATCAGGCAAACTGCCCTCTGCAGAGCTCAGGAATTGGGATGCCAGGCTTGCACCTCATTTGCAGTAAAGTGTCCTCCCTGCATTGGTTTTTGTCTCCCTGACAAGATGGTGCCCTGGAAGGAGCGTCAGTTCTCAAGTCTCCTTCGCAGCACTTAGGATAGGTGGACCAGCAACCAAGGCACTGACAAGGTATGACAAACCCAACTGGCAGTCTCAAGTTTCCCCCAGAACAGCAGTCCGGGACCAGGCCCTCCTGGAGGGTCTCTTCCTTGCCTAGTTGCTGATAGAGGCTCAGGTGTGAGCCCCTCTACCCAGGGAGGTAAATGATGACCCTGCTCATCAGTATATGCACAGGCCTCCTCCAGCTCCAACTCCTCACATCCATTTCTCCTAGCTGGCTCGGCTATCCATCACCAACTCTTCTCCTGAGAGCGCTTCACAGATGCTTCTCTATTACAGATGCGTGATTATCCTCACCATACAGTTGAGAAACTAGGCTTAGAGAGTTGATGTGACTTCTCCAAGGCTATAAAACCCTGAGTGGTGGTCTGGGATTCGAACCAGTGTCTGGGCTATTCAGCGACTTCCAGCGCGGTCCATCCACGGCGCTGTTTCCCCTCCGCAGGTCCTAGACTCCCGCGTCGTCTTAGCAACGTCCTCCACTGGAAAACGTCCTTGGAAAACGCTGACAGAGTCTTTTGGGCCTCGGGCGCACCCGTCACCAGCGCAGCAGGCGGAAGTAGCGGGCAGTTGGCCGGAAGTGGGGCTGTGAGGTCCGGGTGTTGCTGGAGGAGTCGTGGTGGCGCGGCGTTCCCGCGGGATCCGGGGTCTGGTGTTGCGGCGCCCGCGTTCGCCAGGCTCAGGTGAGTGGCGGCGCCCGGGGAGGAGGTCGCGGCGGCCGCTCCCGCTCCCTGCCCGCCTGGCGCTTGGCCCGCCTCTCCCGTCCTGGGCGGCGCAGGGCCGGGCACGCGCCAAGGCCGGGCTCCGCGCTTCCGGGCCCGGCTGCGGACTCCTCTCGCAGGCCCGCTTTAGGCAGCATCTCGGCGACCCCGCCACTCCGGAGTTCTGTGACCTTGGGCAAACGGTTCGTCTGAACCTTGACGTTTCCTCTGGGAGCCGGAGATCATAACTGCCTGCCTCGCAGGACTGTTGGGGGAATGCAGTGAGGTGTTTTGCCGCACTTCCACGTGCGTGCTGATCACTCGGGGATCTGGAGATTGTGGCCGTAGGTCTGCGGTAGGGTCCGAGGTTATGCATTCCTGACCAGCTTCCAGGTGAGGGTGAGCCTGATGCCGCTGGTCCGCAGGCCACAATTTGAGCCGCAAAATGCTACATACAGTATTTTGCTTAGTACTGGGTCAACCTGAGTCTTCAGTAAATATCAATACGATGTATACCTAGTCCCCATTTTTAACAGAACGGTTTCTAGTTGTACAGCCCTAAGGGTATTATCGATGTCTTCCTCCCTTTCCTCTCCAGAGATAAGAAAAATAATTGCCCTTTCTCTTTCCGTACAAATCATGACACAGCTCTTCTGTCCTGACCCAGGGAGCTTTGGGCCCTCTTTGTACCAGTTACTCATCCACTTCCTCAGACCATGCTTCATTGCTCACTCACTGTAAACCCTCGAATAGCACTTCATGCTGTGGAGCTGGTGGCCAAGGGCTTTAGCACCAGTGTGTCTGGTGTTCCCTGCTCTAGTCATTTGTTGCAGCTGGCATGTTAATTCCTGTTTTCTGCACCTTGCTCACACTTTGTGAGGAGTAAGAACAGCTGCTTTAACCACAACCAGATTCTCCAACTCACTGCTCTGAATGGCCTCAGGCAAGCTCTGGGATGAGTTCGCTGCTGCCTAGTAGACCAAAATAAAATCTGAAGACTCAGTGTTGCATAATACAGCAGAGACAGTGAGGCCTTTGGCAGTTGTGCAGGCCTAGTTGATTTGACAGTTTGATTTTCTTCCCCATTCATTCCCCATTACTTCTCTGATTCCCAACAGGGTCTTGTCATTCGTCGTGCAGATACGTCAACTTTGATATTAGAGAATTCTGAAGTTTCCCCTTCAACTGCCTGAAAAACTGTACTGCTCAGCCTTGCAAAGCTAGAATAGATAAAACCAAGTATTTGGTTGATTTGACCAGTTGACGTGACTTTGGATGCAGATATTTCTCTCTACTTGCAAGGCTTTGGTCATTCCTTTAGTAGCTCCACTCTCAACGGGCTGAGAGGGCATGGGTGCCTGCTCTCTGTTGTTAAACCCAGAGATTTTCTAAAGACAGTGTTGTGAATCCTTTAAGAGCGGTTGCTCTAACAGAATCATCTGTGGGGTCTTGTCAGACTGTATCTACCCAGGCCCTTCTTGCCATTCTGATAGAGGAATAGCAGAGGCTTAGAGAAGGGGAGGAGAGGGCTATATAAACTGAAAAAAAAAAAAAGTTTCACAGATAATTGTGATGTGCTGTTTTCTCCAATAAGAACGGAAACTAGAGGGCGCCTGGGTGGCTGGGTGGCTCAGTCGGTTAAGCGACTGACTCTTGCTTTCGGCTCAGGTCCTGATCTCAGGGTTGTGAGATCGAGCCTGGGTGGGGCTCTGTGCTGGGTGTGGAGCCTGCCTAAGATTCTCTCCCTCCCTTAAAAAAAAAAAAGTGCAAACTGGAACAAAGTGGAGGGGATGGTCTGTTAGACTTGGTTTTGGTTTGGCTTAACTCGGGGTGATACTTACCTTGACCTAAACACCTTAGCACTAGTGTTTGACCTTCATGGTAGTAGTAGATCCCTCTCTGCTCCTGTGTGGAAACCAAAGCACGGAAGAGTCTAGCCCAGTTAGCATTTGCATTAACAGCTAAGGGTCCTTAGGTCAGTCTCTAAGCCCTCACCAGGGGCATTAAAGTTTTGTAGACTCTCAACACCTAGAGAAATTTAGTTTTTTGTTTTAATTCTCAGGGTTACTCAACAAATTATTTGCTCAGACAAGGTTAGAATTTGAAGTATCCATTTATTTGTGGCAATTTTATCAGGACATAAGGGGGTTAAACCTTTGTAGCAAAAGGACAGTAATCAGAATTAAGAGAGGAGATCCAGTAACTGGTGAATTGGATATGCTGAGAGTGTCATATACTTAATCTACAGTTAGCATGGCTGTCTTCCTCCGTCTGGCTCCCTTCCTCTAACTTCTGGACTGTAGTTTAAACGAAGCTATTCGACTTTGCTCAGACCTGTACCTGGAAGGTGGAAAGGTAAGAGGCCTCACTCCTGTGAAATCACATCATTCAGGGCGGTTGGGCAGTGCCAGGGGTCTCTGAGGCTCCATTCTGGTTTGTTAGGTCCCCTAAAGAGGAGATGGGGAGGAGAATATACATATAGTTTAGTTTATACACTTAAACTAGGAAAGGAGCTTTGTGCTGTTGTCACATGTCTTTGAACCTCTAGAGAAGGTGTCAGGAGTTACTGATTGGGCATCTCATAGTATTCCCTTTCCATCTTTCTTATGGATTCCCTGGGAGTCCTTAAGTAAGGAGGAACTAACAAACTCAGCTGTGTTTTCTCTGTCTGGGCGAACACATCTGACAACCTCTCCTTTGCAGTGCCTCTTCTCCTCACTGATCTACTTTATGGGTTCTGTATCTTCCCTTTGTTTCTTTCCTTTCCTTCTCCACAGTACTCAAGACCAGACTTCTGAAGTGATTTTATTTCAGACCTATATATATAGATATGGTGTCTCAACAGTTATGCTAAAAGTTGCATGGTGGAAAAGTAAGTAGCTCCTATTTGCCGTTTGCAGTTGGCTTTGCATGCTTCTACGATTCTTTATTTTGTCATCATTTCTGTTACTGGGCATCCATAAGGAAGTTCTATAGACAGTAGGAATTGCTTGGACTAGTTGGACTTTTCAACATTTTCCTTGAAACTTAAGGTTACTTTCTTTGAACATTGTCTTCTTGAAGAATACCTTAATTTCCTGTTAG